GTTTTTCACGCCACGTGTAGAGCAAGCCCAGTTTTGTCACTGACAAGGGAGCCCCATCCCTGTGAAATAGGTTGCTCCGTAGCTGCGCTTGCCTTCGCTTCTAGCAAGGAGAACTTTTCTTCACATACCTTACACATATTGCCTTCTCACATTTATGTGTTGAAAAGACCTCACACATCTGGTTTAAGAAGCAAAGAAGACCTCTGTGCCTCTGAAGGAGACATCTCGGCTCCCTTGCCTAATGCTGTGTTTCAGTGCTGGCTGGGGGATTCTGGGAGTTGAAGCCCACACATCCTAAAATGGCAGAGGTTGAGAAGCATAGGTCTCCCTGTGCAAAAATACCAAGGAACCCAACTCCTACCAACCACATTCCCACAGCATCCACATTTTGCTTTCTCTCTTCTTTTCTTCTGAAGAAAAAACCCCACCCAAGCACTTTGCTTTGAGGGATGAAAGATGGCCTCGGTGGTAGAACATCGGTTCGTTCCCCAGGATCTCCCGGCAGGCCCACTCAGCTGCTTCACTTGAAACCCTGCAGAGCAGCTGCCAGGCTGAGCTTGGTGGACTGACCATCTGACTCAGGAGAAGACAGTTCCCTGGGGTGCCTATAAACCCATTGTTATTCAGAAGCACAAGGACTGGAATCTTGGTTTAGGGAACTTGCTCTGAGAGCAGAAGATTTACTCAGCAACAGATGTGTTCAGGCTGAGGCTGGATGGTCATCAGCCAGGGATGCTGAGTGTGGATTCCTGCACTGAGCAGAGAGCCGAACTCCATGGTAGAAATGACCCTTTCCAACACCTGCATTTTATGATCTCCTGGTGGCAAGTGGTGGAAAAACCCTCTGGAGATGACCTGAAGAGCTGCAGCAATGTATTCCCCCTGACACCAGAAGGGCCCTCTTCTCTTGGATTACGTAGGGCATTATCTTGGATTCAGTCCCTGCCTGCAGATGAAACAGGACCTTGGATCTCATTTGGGCAGGGAAACGTCCACAGCCTTGGAGAACCACCAACCACCGGAGAAAACAATCCAGGGCGGAAGGGAGAAAGAAGCATCTTGGCCAATTTCTGAAGGAGACCCTGTCGTTCATGGGTGAGGCTATCCTTTAGTCAGGAGGGAGAGATCCGATCCAGCAGATGAGCATCTTCTCTGATTTGTAGCAGAGCCCATATCTGAGCTGGATCTGCTGGAATCCTCTGACCGCCGCTGACCAACTCCTGGCAGCACGAATCCTCTCTCCGGTGCCTCCATGTGATGCCTGGAGCCTTCTGTTGGGCCAGTCCTTCCATCGGCCACTCTCAAGAGCTTCCACGTGGAATTGCTTACTTTGTCCACGTGGTTGCACTCTTGTCGTTTTTGTCTTGGCATGCGCCCAAACCAGTTACGGGCCAGAGCAAATCCAAGGGAAAGAAAACTAATGATAAAGACAATCAATATCCCAGGAGGAGTTAGGTAATACGCTAAAAGGGAACGAGGGAGACCTGGCACACGCGTGCGACCCTAAGTGCGTCACGCTTCGGGGAGTAGCGATGCAAATTGCGCTGAGGCTCCCTGCCTGTAGACTGCACGGCAGCGCCCATTTGCCTTCGTAGCGGCCGCCGCTTGCCCTCTTCCCGCTGGGAGGACCCATCAGCCCCTCCGCAGGGCCTCTTCTGGAGAGAGGCAGCTGGCTTTTCAACCGTGTCAGGCGAGCGAAAAGCCATTAACGTGGCAAAGCTCGGAGGTCAGCTGGAAAATTAATCCATTATTTCAGGGAGCCTCTTGAGGGGTTCAGGAGGGCACTTTGGATGCCCACTTGCTATATCAGGGCCTTTGAAAAGGAGGGGGACCCCCCCACAAGCAGGTGCTTAATTTTCCATAGACTTAAACGTTTTCCTGGTGCCTTGATTGATGGCGACAGGTTCCTCTCTTGCCTTTAGCACTTTGGAGGGCCCCGAAGGGCTGAGGCTATTGCTTCTGCGTCTCAAAGGTGACCGTGTTTTACAGAGATTGATAGTGTTCGGGACATGGTTCATCATTCTACATTTATGTCTTTAATTCATTCATCTCTCTTTTGTTTGAAAAACCAAATCCAGGCTGCTTTTAAAAGCACCTAGAACTGAGAATGCGCATTCCGGCTTGTCTCCTTATGCCCAGGCATTCGAAACAGCCTTTGTGCATGTTGTTTTCATAGGTACCTGGAGAATGAAAACGGCTTCTTTGTGGGATGCCGAAAGTAGGACGGTAGCCCCCGTGAACAGATTTGGAAAAGGTGTCTTGGGCCGTGCATAGATGCGGCCCCTCTCTGCAAATTCAACCAAGCAGCTGTACTTTTCTAAAAAGCATCTCTGGGAGGCCGAAAATGGGATGCTGTTTTTTTACTGGGCAGTATTTAAGGTGCTCCATCAGTTAAGCGGATTATAAAGTATGGGACTGAAATAAATATATTTGTCTGGGGTGAATTAACTTTTAAAATAAAATTGAACAGGGATGGAGTGGAGGTTTGTCAATTAACAGGGGGCCCCAAACCCCACTTTTCCCAAACCATGATAGATTAAGTACCGTTCCCCTGCTGCTTCGCTTCTTTCTTCTTCTTGTCCCTTTCTCCTTTTGTCTCAATTTTCTTCCCTCCCTGATTCCCCAAACAAGTTTTCTGCCTCACCCTTTGCCAGTGGCATTGTTGATATACTAAAGTTATTCTTCCAAAGGTGAGGAAGTCACATCTGAGCTTCAGAAGAACAATGGTTTCCGGGCTCCCAGGAAAGATAAACCCTCCCAGTGTATTCAGTTTTGTTCAGTTGTTTTGGCAGGGACGCATGGACGCCTCCCTGCAAAGGCTGGCTGCTTTGGGGAAGGCCTCTCCTTTGGGCGTCTGGCGCAGGCGGCTAGTCCTCGGGTAGGTCGGGAGCCCGCGTGCTGGGATCCTCGCTCGAGTCGAAAGGGTCCGTCCCTCTGCACAGAGAGGAGTCCAAATTAAAGCATCACCAACTGCTGGCTCTTAATCTCTGCTTGAGCACATAGACCTCTTGGGCTACTGACCCCGCTGCCAAACTGCTGTTCTTCTTCTTCTACTGTTCAGCTGGAATCTCTCTTCCTGTAATTTAAACCTGCTCTTCTGCTTCTTGCCCTTAGCAAGGACAAAGAGCTGTGATATTTTTCCATATAACACGCTTGCAGAAAGCCCGGAAGAGTGTGTTCCTCTCCTTCCTCAGTCTTCTCAAGGCTTCCTTTAATCCTCCTTCATAAAATTGAGCATCCTCATGACTCTTCTTGGAACCTGTTCTAGTTTCTCTGAAATTAAGCTGAACTGGACATGATACTCAATAAAGCAGAACTTGCACTTCCCATGATCTAGAAGCTATACTTCTTTTAAAAAGCTTATTTAAGACTTTTAACAGATTTTTAGAAAGTGAAAGACCCAAAACATAGAATAAGAGAAAACAACTACTGATAAAGCAGGAGTGAAGAGCGATAATTCTTGATGCATCCTGAAACTTCCTTTATTTTTGATACAGCCACATCACATTGCCAACTCATTCGGTTTGTAACTAACCACTCCCTAACAATGTTTCTATCAACCTCAAGTTACTTAGTGGAGCGCACATTTGCTGCAAACACACGCTAGGTTGTTTTCACACAGGAAGACAAATAGTTTTGTCTGTTAATTTTCTCATGAGTTTCTTAAGGCACCACAGTTAAAAAAATGTTGATTCCTTCACATTCTCTTCTCAGGCTGCCAAGGAAATGCTGCTGACTTAGTGGAAATTTTGTTAGGGACACCCTTTGAATTCCTTTGAACTTCATTGGCAAGCTCCTGTTTGCTCTGTTTATTGACTGACATTCCTCCTGCAGCCTCTGCTTACTCAGCAGGAAGCAGTCACCAAATCGCCCACAGTGGGAATGAGGAACTATTCAGGACGTGACCTTTTTACCCTTGCAGCTCAGCACACAATCCAGGTCAGGGTCTTCTCTTATCCCCAAACTGTACAGACCAACAAAATCAATGACACAAAGGGTGGCAATTTCCACACCAAGTTCACTGATGGGCCATAGAAAGTAGGGCTGTACCATGCTTGAGATTCAAAGCCATAAAGATGCTTTGGAGCATGAAAGTAGCACTTATCTGCAGCTCCTTAAACCAGATGCATCTCTTCCCAGGATTGTGCAGCATTTCGAAGCACTGCCCCAACAGAAAGCTAAAAAGCAGTGATGCCCTTGAATCTTTTGGCACCACCGTTGAAGGGCTCCCCTGTTTTTAAAGACCAGCCAAGTTGTCTAAGGCCCCACGGCAAGAAAGGAATGGAGGCCTTTGCTGGATGGCTGCTGAAGACGATGGGACATCTTGCAGGTCACTTGTTTGGGCATGGAACAGGGATGGCAAGGGAGCATTTCCCGTTCGGTCCCTGGTGCTGCCTTTTAGCTGGAGAAATGCTTCATTTCTGTATTCATAAAAGGTGGGAGTACATAGCAAAACGCCTCTGGGTCTCCCTGAGAAAAATAAAGCGCCGGGAAATTAAAACTCTATGTAGTTGCTTGCTATTTCTATCAAGCAGTGGTTAGGCTGAAAAAAAAAGAGGCCAAGTCAGAGGGCAGTAAATCATGCAGAGAAGCAATGGGAAGACTTGGTTTCCCTGACTGAGCACTTGGTCCTCCCACGTGCATCTTTATGCAGAACTGACTCCCTCAGTGCTGATTTTCTAGGAAATGCATTTAGAGTCTGGAATATGGTTTTTCTCCTGGGTGAGTTTTATTCCCCTTGGCCTGTCTAGGCAGTGACTCTCGCGGGAGGGGTCCCTTCTCCCATCTCTGCTCCTGGATCCTTTAGCTGGGAGCGGCACCTCCTGCCTGCCAAGAGCTTTGCCCCTGGCATCACCCAAGAGCAGCTCCTGCGTGGCACCCAGGTTGCGGTTGATTGGCCGGGCAGCCCTCTCCTCTCCCTGTTCTGGGCTGGTGGTCCATCAGGCACAAGCCACCTTCATCTCATGTTTCTTTCCTTGCCTCTCCTTTCTCTCTTCCAGACTATGCCTGGCCCTTGCCTAAACATCTGTGTCCCATCTGGATTTCCCTAGATGTGCTCTTTTCTACGGCCTCCATCATGCACCTCTGCGCCATCTCCCTCGACCGGTACGTCGCCATCCGCAACCCCATTGAGCACAGCCGGTTTAACTCCCGCACCAAGGCCATCATGAAAATTGCTGCTGTTTGGACCATTTCTATGGGTAAGCTGTCCCTCTTGGAGACCTGTTCTTGTCTGGCAGCCTTTGTTTAAAAGAATACTCATGCCCACAATAAAACAGTAACTTCTGGACCTTTGCATTATCTGGGCTGAAGGACTGCAGACAATCAACTGGCGCTGAGAACCAAAAGTATTTTCGTCCAATTGCTTGGAAGAGTTTATTCAGGAGGCATCTTTGGACTCCTGGCTGGGGAATTCTGGGAGTTGAAGTCCACACATCTCAAAGTTGACAAGGTTGAGAAACCCTGCTCTAGAGTGACACATGGCAGCTTCTCACCCCTTTCCTTCCCCGCTTACAAGCAGGAGCCACTCTGCTACGGGTAGCCCAAGTGCCCTGGGGCAACGAGGGTGACCCACCCCCTCGGGGCCTGCCCTGCTGAGAGAGACCCTTGCAACTGAAACACAGATGCTTCTGCAGGATGGGGGAAGCAAGTGAGGAAGGGAGATACGGGGTCGGCTCCTGGGCTCTGTAGAGAAAGTTAGGCGAAAGCCTTTGGCTCCAGCAGCGTTTCTGTCCAAGATGGCCGCCTGCCTTCCCGTCAGGGTCATGGGCACCACCTAGTGGAGCCAAGGAGGATGGCACCCTGTTCCTTGGTGTCACGTTCCCGGCACACTTTGCAGGAGAAGGCACCCACACACTTATCTGGGTTTTGGGGACTCTCCTGCAAGCTAACTCCACCTCTATAGTCAAAGTCATGTGCACGGGGCAAGTTTATAGTGTATTTTTTGGCACTGAATATTGACTGATATTTAGACAGCAACTGGATTTACTCTTGGTGTAAATCAGTTTGCTTAAACAGTTGGACTAAGTCTTCACAGGTTGCCCCAGGCCAAAACCAACCGCACCCTGGTTTAATACCCAGAAGCAACATGGGAGATGCGTGTGCCCACCAGCACCCCTGTGGGGGGCCCTGGGATCTCCCTTAGAGTGGATGAGACGAGGCCTTTTGTCCGCCCCCCTTTTTTGTATTTTCCGAGTTTAGGAGGGAAATAGCTGCCTTGAACCTTAAAGGTGCTCCAGGAGCTTATTTCTCCCCTGGAAACTGCCCCCCAAACGCCCTCGGTGCTCCCCACTTTGTGACTCGGGCCCTTCGGAATACCTGAGCAGACACCGCCTGCCTCGTTGTCCTCAGCCAGCCTGTCCTTGCCTGGAATGTAAGCCGCAGAGGGAGGACATCTTCTCATAAAGGGGACATGCGGCAATATGCATCGCACAGGGCTCGACTGCTGCTTCAGCTGGCCTTCCTCAGCCTGGTGTTCTCCAGACAAGCTGGTGCAGAGAGGAAGGAAGATGGCCCTGATGGAGATAGGCAAGAATTGTCACCTAGGCCAAAGGGGCTGAAGCATTTTTTAAGTCCAGAACTTCCAGACAACATCTGGAAGTGGCTCCCTAATTCACAGGAGCACAAGCAGGGGAAGGAGGTTCAGCACAATCAGACTTGCCAGATTCTGTTACTTAGAGTCCGTCTCAATCAAAGTAGATTTAGCCTTCCTGGGGAGTTGATTTCCGGTCTGGTCTACCGGGTGGGCTGACTGTTGGACTCCAGTTCCCATCGTGACTGTTCATTTGCCTGGAAGCCAGCAGATTGAAGAACATAATTCTAAGGAAGCAGAGAGGGATCTTGGAGAGTTAATACCAAGGACAGTGGGAAGATGCAGAAGTTTCTTGGTCACTTCATTAAGCATCTCTAAACTGATACCAAAGTCACTCTTTCCCCAGTTCCCCCTTGACACCTTCACTTCCTTTAACTGAAGACGTTCTGGTGGGACTGTTTATTCTGACAATACCCAAATCAAGGGTCGTTAAGGCCAGGTGACCAATCCAATTAAAGTAACAGCCCTTTTCTCCATGTCTGCTTCTCTTGATGGTCTTTCTTTTTGGAATATCTCCTCCTCCAGGCATTTCGCTGCCCATCCCTGTCATTGGCTTGCAAGATGACTCTCGGGTCTTTGTGAATGGAAGCTGTGTCCTGAACGACGAAAACTTTGTCCTCATTGGCTCATTTGTGGCTTTCTTCATCCCGCTGATGATCATGGTGTTCACCTACTGCCTGACCATCCAGGTCCTGCAGAAGCAGGCATCTATTTTCCTCTATGGGGAGCCCCTCAAGCAGAGGAGGAACAGCATGAGCTGTCTCAGGAAAGAGAACAATGCAGAGAACCTTTCTATGCTGCAGAACCACGAGGCAGCTTCCCACTTAAATTCTCCGGTCAACAAGGAAGGGGTCCTTTTTCGGAAAGGCACCATGCAGTCCATCAACAATGAACGCAGAGCCTCCAAAGTCTTGGGGATTGTCTTCTTTTTGTTCCTGATCATGTGGTGCCCATTTTTTATCACCAACATAATGTCTGTCCTCTGCAAGGACGCCTGCGACAAGGCTCTTCTCAGAGAGCTTTTGGATGTCTTCGTTTGGGTAGGCTACATCTGCTCAGGGGTCAACCCCCTTGTCTACACACTCTTCAACAAAATCTACCGCAGGGCTTTCTCTAACTATATCCGATGCCACTATGAGAGTGGCAAAAAGGCCTCACAGCTGCACAACCAGTGCCCCAATGTCTCTACAGCTTTCTATGGGAAGGACCTCAACTTGAACAGTTACCGCAACGAACTCAACAGCATGGAGCTGGACGAGTCAGAGGATGCTTTGGAAATGCATGTGGGGACTCTGGAGCTCTCGATAAACAGCTGCAGTGGTGAAAAAACAAGTAGCGTGTAAACTACATGCATATACTCACGTTTGAATTTCACTGTGGCACAGCTACAGTGTTCACGTTAGTCAAAGAACGATGTAAATAAGGCATTATGAACAAAATCTTTTTTTTTTTCATTTCAACTTTCATACCTGTAGCTCATTGTTTTGCACCATTCTTAAAATTAGGAACTGTATTGGTTGTTGGAAACAGAGCAGGAGGGTCCCTGGTGGGTACGGGGCGGGGGGTGGAAGCGCTGCAAAACGGCATCCCTGATTTTGCTTATAAAAATGTTGGTTATTTTCATTCTGGTGCATGAACAAAATACTATTAATCTCAGGTGTTCCCCCCCCCCCCATTTCTTTCTCTTTTCTGTTGGGTCTCAGTGGTCAGTTATGAG